GAATGAGCATTGCCTCACTCAAAGTTAGAACTTGAACAGAACTTAGCTTAAAAGGGTCAGGGTCTCCTATTGCATCCTAAACCATCTCCAGTCATCCTGATGAATATCTGGCCACTGGACCCAAATGGTTCAGGAGAAAAAAGTGAGGCTTGCACAGCCCTCCTTCACTCAAATCAAAGTCAACTGCTAGTCATGTCATCAACTCCCTGATGTCATGGTCCTCTTTGAGAACAAAGGACAAACATAACAAAGTAGTAGAACCAGAATCTGAAGCTGAGCCCTTGGACTACAAGTCTTTCTACTGCACCACTCTAAAAATCTGCTGTTAAGTTACAGTATCAGGAAGGGGCAGTTAGGTACAGTGGATAAAGTGCTGGACCTGGAGTCAGGAAAACTTAATTTCCAGAGTTCAAATCTGGCTTCAGACACTTACTAGCTGGGTGACCAACGGCCAACCATTCCAGTATCTCTGCCAAGAAAACCCCAAATGGGGTCACAAAGAGTTGGATACAACTGAAAAACAACAACAAACATGCTAGGGACTTTGCTACGTGCTGAAGATATAAAGAAAGGTAAAAAACAGTACCTGGTCCCAAAAAGCTCACAGTTTAAAAGACAAGACATGCAAACAACTATGTAAAAGCAAGATCAGACAGATAGGCAGATAGATAGAAATGTGTGTATATATGTATGTATAACATATTTTATACACACACACACACACACACACACACACACACACACACACACACAGAGTAAACTGGAGATGATACAAAAGGGAAGGTACTGGTATTAAGGAGAACCAGGAAAGGTTTCTCACAGAAGATAGGACTTGAGCTGAGACTTGAAGCAAGCCAGGGAAGCCAAGAGGCAGAGATGAGGAAAAAGTTAGTTTCAGGCATGGGGGGCAGTCAGTGAAAATCTTCATGTGAGAGGAACAGCAGGATGACCAGTGTCACTGGATCACAGGATATACAGAAGGGAGTAAGGTGTAACAAGACTGAAAAGGCAGGCAGAAACCAGATTATGAAGGGCTTGAATAGCCCAACAGAAGACTTTCCATTTGATCATGGAGGTAAAAAGGAGTTAGTGGAGTTTACTGAATAAGAGATGAAATGATATGGTCAGACCTGAGCTTTAGGAAGACCATTTTGACAGCTGAATGGAACACAGACTGGAGAAATTAATTTGGAGATACCAATGACATTCTAAATGTGAGGAATATAAGAGAGGACTATTTTTGTAAGTTCCTTGAGGGCAAAAACTCTATCATTTTTATCTCTATCCCCGACATCAAGCACAGGATCTTCTTGCACAAAGCAGATACTTAATATATTTTGAATTTAATAAAAATGCCTAATCAATCAATCAATCAACAGACGTTATTAAGCATATATTACGTACTAGGTGCCAGAAATAAAAAAGTAGAAAGAGTCCCTTTCAAAGAGCTTCTAGTCTATGGGGAAAGACAGCATGAACAGATAAGTAACTACAATTTGATGTTACAATGCATTGAGAACTAACATATTTATCTGTACCTCTCTGTATAGACACAAGCCTCATCCCAAGAAAGTTAGCCACCAGGTGGTGGTGAATGTTTTTTGGCCAAGGCAACTCTTCAAAACCATCTATTGTGTGAAGAGGCTGCTGCTATCTCACCTCAGTGACAGAAATAGCCATGGCAATGAAATCATGTTTTTCGGGAAGGAATGAAATTTACATAAACACTCTTTGAGATACAATTGTCATAAAAATCCTCTTCGAAAGAGTGTAGAATTATTTATAACTGCTATAATAAACTAATTTGTTGCTAAACAGAAGGTTAAATAGTCTCAGATATTTTTGTTGTTATTGCTAGAAGTGTTTCCCACTATTATAATGCCCATGCTTACGATCATAAATGACAGTAATATACACAAAATGACAAAAGTGTAAATTACTGGGGCTAAGTCAAAAGGAGGGGCTGGAAACATGTTTCAAAATTGTAATTGTTCTAGACCATTTTTGAGACATAATACAAATTATTTTAAGTTAACATTTTTGGAAATGAAATAATTATGCATCATTTAGGGCCACCAAAATACTAAAATTAAGAAAAACTTTGAAATTGCACCAAAAATTTACCAAAGGATCTTGAGTTATGAGAATAGTAACAAAAAATTATGCAGTTGAATTAAACCATTTCTAAGGTCCCTGGTACAGATCATTCTGAGTTTTGATTTTGACAATAAAATGTATCTTTCAGCAAAAAAGAAAACAAAATGCAAAAGCTCTACTCTATCTTTTAAAGCCTTCTGTTCTACTCTAAATAGTATGTTCTTTTGTCAAAATTTGTTATAATCATAGTGTGTTTAAAATACAGTATCTTTTAAAATATATTAAGCTAAATGTGCCATGTTATTGTTGTTATATTTCCCCCAAGAAAAGTTATAATGTTACTTTTCTTTAAAAAGTTAAAACTTAAAAATACTACAATTTTAGTTAAAACAATAATCAAAGCAAAGAAATCACTAAAAGTTCTCAAATGCGATGCTATAGGTTGAAAAAATATCTCCTGGAAATGGAGCCCTTGATTCTTTCTGCCCCTCTGCCATCAATCTTCTACCTGAACATATTAAAAATCCACACAAACCTTGCAGTATAAGAAGCACATGAATAAATGTTGAACACAAATACTGAACCATGAACCATAACATAGGAAATTTCTAGGTTTTATACTAAGTAAACTGCTACTAACTTTAAAGTATGATTTTTGATAATCAATAATTTAGTAAAATTAATTGAATATTTAGTATATCACTATCATAACATTGCTTCAACAAGCCTATAAAAATTAAAACTCCAGGATGTTTTGCAACAGCATAATTTCTCTTTATTTTACTATAAGAAAAGAAAATTTTAACATTTTCTTTAATCATTAATCCTAATATTATTCTTATTTTAGTCACTTTCATCACGTTGCCTCTAAGATCTTCTTTCCCTCTGATTCTATATCTCCCAATTTCTCTCTCTCCATCATATTAGCATCTCAGTGACTCCCTTTTCAGAGGCAAGCTATATAGCAAATCACCTCTACTAAAACTAAAATATGTTGATTCAAAAAATGCTTGGAATAAATTTCACTATGCCTCACTGTATTAATTTCATCTTTAATTTTAGTTAAGTAAAATTCAGGTAAAAAGCTATGATTTTTATTAAATTATTAATTATTCTAGATAGAAAAATCTATTTGCAAACTAAGTTACTCAAAGTTTGTCTAACAAAATTTAAAATTGTAATAGGTAAAATAATTTTAAGTGGTTCTGTTAACCTTAAGTAGAAACTCATTAAGCCAGATTTATTATCCACCCTCATTCTCCACATGGGATGCTGTGAGTTTTGAATGAAACAGCCCCAATTGTAACAGAAGAAACATCTGTTGCTTTTTCCCCATCAGGACTTTTCTAACTGAAAGAAGGGCTTTTCTCCCCCAACCTCAGTGACTACATTCCTTAAAATAACTACTTTTTAAAAAATGTACTATGTAGTTCAAATTTTACTATACTGATGAAGGAAGAACTGATTTCTCAATAAACATTCACCTAAAAAGTTCAGCTGGCCAACAAGCCATACATTATATTCAAGAACAAGTGATATGGCTGACAGAATACTATTTGCTCCTAAAAATATGGACTTTAAAAGTATTCTTCAAATAGTCAATTCGATTAAGTTGTCATACATTCAGGGACCATGTGTCTTTAAAAACGTTCAGTGTTAACATTTTTGTTCACAGGATCCAGATCTACACAGGACCTTGTTTGCTATATTTTCTTTGCCAATCCAAAACTAACATAATGGCAGTCACTGGCCCAAGAGGCAGACACCAAATGGTGCCACCCACACTCTCACACTGTGCCTCATAATAAACCATAAAGCTGTGGAATGCACCAGCCCCTTTATGAGCAAACAATGCCTGAGCTTCATTAGAATACAGCTGACATTTTCAAAGCACAAATACTTTTAAGAAAATTGTACTAGAAAATGGTAATGAAACATCTATAAAAGCTGAAATACTTTTAAAGTAGCAAATTTATTTCCAGTGACCACCAAAACACATTTTATTTTTTGCAATTAAAAAGTTTAAACAGAAACTTGCCCCCCTGTTAGGGGCAAAGTTCATTTTATTAACTATTGGAAAGAAATGAAAGTAAAAACTGTATGATATAACAATTTGGACTGCTTTCCCAACCAGTAACCACACGAAATACTTTTCAAAAAATTATTCTATTACCCAACTGTCTGTCATATCTTTGGGATAAGAAATATTTCTAGGATTATTTTTTGCATTTTTATTAATTTATCAAGTATGAGAGTGACAAACTAAAGCTAAGTCTACCCCACTCCCCTCCCCCAACCCCCAATACACTGTAGTTTCCTTGACTGCAACATTCAGGAATGTCTTGAATTCAGTATGTTACTGCCTATTCACCAACTTAAAGCTGCTGTTTATGAATGAATATCTAATAAACCATATCAAAAACTTAGCCAGCCGTATGAAACAAAATGATCTCTCTTACCTGTTCTAAGGAAGCATGCCTCTCACTGCAGTACCAACAACACTCTACAGTCTTTGTTACCATTCAGTGGAAACTTGAGACTATGTCAGACTTAAGCAATCGAGTTCAGAATAGATCCATTTAAAATACTTCACAAGAATACCAAAAAGATACTCAAGGGAAATATTAGCTTTATTTCACAAAAATCGTAAACACTTTCTAACAATGATAAAACCCCTATCTGTGATAATATGAACACAATGGTCTCCTAAGAAAAGGCAGTATAATATCTTGGGCCCCCAATTTTAGCTGTTTCCATTTAGACTCACTCTTCTGTACTGAAATGTGAAAAAATGCTTAATTATATTAAAAATATAATCAAAGATACCCAAAACCTGGCAAATATTTTTTTAAAATTACTTGAATATCAATAGCAGAACATTAAAATCTATAGATTAAACTTACTCATGAAGCCTGTTATTTTTCATGCCAGGATATTCATTGGCTCAGAAGCAAAGTCAAAGCAGGAAACCTTGATTCATCTTGAAAGCAAAGGTATCCTGAGTTACTGAATGAAACATAAAGAAACCATGAAAAACTGCTGCGAAACTCAGCCTGAAATGGGCTTAAATAACTTTATGAGCTTTATGGGCCTGAAATAACTATCTAGTTTTCTTGCCTTAAAAAAATTTTTTTTGATCCTGTCCCTTTGAGATAGTGTACATTGCTTCCATGCCAAAATGATTGACGTGTTCATTTCTGATATCAACTATGAACAGCTTTGGCTGCGCTCATTTTTTTTTTCCTTTTCCACTGGGCAACAACATAACTTTCAAATTCTTCATTTTATTAATTTGCCTCAATTTCCACTAGGTTCCCAAAGGCAATGCCAGCAAAGCACAAGTTCTGCCTTATCCTACCCAAACTTAAGTAACTCTAGCAACTGACTACTTGTCTGTTGTCCAAAGACTAACCTAAGTTCTGGGTCATCATCAAAAGATTGGCAACCAGATGATTAATATTTTGGACAATACCAAGTTACAAAAATTGCCAACTAAGGAGTTGAGAAGAATTCAATCTGTCAGAGGAGAAAATAATGACACCAATTAATATTCCATGCATTTGTGATCTGATATTTCTATATGTCTAGTAAGTGCTTAATTATAAGCATACAACTACTAATCCTAATTTTTGGCTTGAGATTGAACAAAAGTTGATCTCTTGAAGTCCTTTACATGATTTATTCTTTTCAAAATCAGGGAATCATATTATAAAATTGGTAATATTTATAAGACTTTCCTGTCACTTTGTTATATAAATACAGGAAGACATGGCAGGCATACAAAAAGTAAAAGAGAAAAGAAATATTATATATAACTTTTTGATAATATTTTAATTATATAATTAGGATATTACTAATTGAAAACTTTGTGTAAACAATTATAAGTTCAAGAATTTTATAGCTCAAAGAGATCTTACCAGCTCATAAATTTAAATGTCTGACCCTTGCAAGTTCCTAGCAAACACTACTTTGATAGCACATAAGTATTTTCCTTTCTTGACTAAAGACTACATAGATCTGAAACATGCCCTCTTAGCACTGGCCATGGTGAGCAGCTCAAGGGAATTTCTCTCTGGCCCATCTTTTTCCTATCTATCACTAACATGGCTTTTATTCATTCTATGTTACTTAAAATATATCAAAGCAAGTCAATAAGCAAGAGAAGCAAGGCAAATAGAGTCTGGTTGATTCTGCTCCCACAATGTTCCTACTTTGCATCTTCATTCATTTTGCTCTAACCATTTTCTTTTGGGGTCTCAGTGTTCAATCATCCAGCCCAACCCCTACCCAAAACATGAGTCTTGTAAACATCCTTAACAAGTGATCACCCAAGCCTTGACATCACTAGTGATTGAGCACTCAATACACCGCACAAAGTTCCCTTGGGCCAGTCCCTTCCACTTTTGGTCATCAATAAAAATAAGTTTTTATTGAGTTGAAAACTATCTCATGGTAATTTCTACCAATTTTTATTAGGTTTTGCTCTTTATATTCAACTCTAATCCTTCAAGACAATCCTCCAAATAAAGAAGCAGGGGCAGCTAGGTGGCGCAGTGGATAGAGCACCAGCCCTGAAGTGAGGAGGACCTGAGTTCAAATTCGGCCTCAGACCAGACATTTACTAGCTGTGTGACCCTGGGCACGTCACTTAACCCAACTGCCTAAAAAAAATAAACAAATAAAGAAGCAGCAAGTTATAATGAGGTTAAAGTACCAGATTTGGAGGCAGAAAGACCAGAGTTCAAATCTTAATGCTGATAACTATCAGCTACATGACTGTGGGCAAATCACATAACCTCTCAGAGCCACAGCTTCCTGAACTGTAAAACTAAAAGGATTTCCAATATGGCCCCTGAGGACCCTTCAAGTTTTAAATCTATAATTCTAAGAGCTATGTGAAATCATTTGTCATATTCCCCTTAAGTTGCCTCCCCCCCCTCAAGCTAACTATCCCTTTCCATTGTTAACAGTGATCTGAACTGCTCTCTCCTCAGTGCTCAATGTCTCAGTCAAAAAGTCAACTGTTCTTGTCCCTACCATCCTTAACAATTGTTACTCTACACAGATATAAGGAGAAAAGTTATTTAAAAATCTTTTTGGCTGACTTCTCTCAGAATCTCTTCTAAGCTTGTTTTTCCTTTGTTCATAATATTAAGAGGATCCCTTTAAAGCAAAAGACTACCACTGTTACATGGATTTAACACTCATATTTATCATTTAGTATTTGCTCCTGGAGTCAATGGAGTTTACTGAGCAGAGGGGGCAACATGTTTAGACCTGTATTTTGGGAAAATCACTTTAGTGGATGAACACAAAATGGACTGGAGTGAGGAGAGACTTGAGGCAGACCCACCCACCTGATATCAGGCTATTGTAATAGTCCAGGCACGAGGGGAAGAGGACCTGCACCAGAGTGTCACTGGTGTCAGAGAAGAGAAGGAGGTATATTCGAGAGATGTTGTTAAGGTAAAACTGACAGGTTTTGACAACAACCTAGTGATGGGGGGGGGTGAGAGTTAGTGAAGAATCCTAGGTCATAAGCTTGAGGGACTGGGAGGATGGTGTTGCCTCAAAAGTAAGTGGGAAAGTAGGAGGGGGCAGGAGGTTGGGGGTGGGGAATAATGATTTCCATTTTGGACATATTGAGTTCAAAATGCCTACTGGACCTCCAGTTCAAAATGTCTGAAAGACATTTGGAGATATGAGATTGGAGGTCAGCAGAGACTGAGGCAAGAGAGGTAGATTTGAGAATATTCGGCAAAGAGATAGTAATTAATCCACGGGAGCTGATGAAATCACCAATGGAAGAAGTATAAGGGAGAAGAGAAGAGGACCCATGACAGAACCTTTAGGGACACTTACAGTTAAGGGGAATGATCTGGAGGAGGATATAGTAAAAGAGAAAGAGGAGCAATGAGAGAGCTAGGAGGGAAACCAAAAGACTGACATTCCAAAACCTAGAGAGAAGAGAATATAAAAGAGGAGAGAGCAAATGTCACAGTCAAAGGCTTCAGGGAGGTGAAGGAGAACAAGGACTGAGAAAAGGCCATTGGATTTGGCAACTAAGAGACCATCACTAACTTTGGAGAGAGCTATTTTGGTAGAATGATAAGGCAGAAAGCCAGATTATAAGGGGTTAGGAAAAGAGGGAGGCGAGAAAAAGTGGAGGCACCTATTGTAAAAACCTTTTTCAAGGAGTTTAGCTACAAAAGGGAGCAAAGAAAGAGGATGACAGTTACCAGGAATGGAAGGCATCAAATGAGGTTTTTTTTCAGGATAGGTGAAACACAGGCATAACTACAGACAGTCCTCATCTGTAAAATGGGAGATAATAATGGCATCTACGTCTCACAGTTAACATGGGGTTAAATGATATAATATCTGTAAAGCACTTTGCAAACCTTAAACTTATTTATTATTCTTAGAGCAAAAGTCAAAATCTACATCAAATCAGAAGGTTAAAGATAAAAAAAGGTCACTTCATGCAATTACAATATTGTAGTTTGACCCAATCCAGTCAAAGAAGCTTCTGACTTCAAAAATGGAAAAGGATAAAGATAAAAATATTGACCCTAATTATAGATGTTTAACTGATATAAAGCAATTGCCACAAGGAGATCAAAAGGGCTCAGAAACAACCTGAGTCAACAAATGCCTGATCTCTGTCAAGCAGAGAAACAGACACGCTGGGTCACACACACACACACACACACACACACACACACACACACACACATACACACACACACACGCGCACACACACACACACACACACACTCTCTCTCTCTCTCCTAATTCAGTGTACTGCCTTTCCTACAGTATATGATAGTTTGGACAACAGGCATTCTTCTTATGTGACTACTTGGAAAATGACTCTGGATCTCATTGATGCAATCAGTATAGTGTCAGCATCAAACAAAAACACCTGGACAGCCTCATTTTATGGAATCCTATATCTCTCCTCTCCTTCACTACTAAACTTTTTTTAATTTAAATTTATTTTTAACATTCATTTTTCTGAAATTTTAAGTTCCAAATTATATCCCTTCCTCCAGTCCTTCCCTTACCATTGGAAGGCAAGCAATATGATATCAATTACACAAGTTATGTCATACAAAATATTTCCATGTCTGTCATGTTGCAAAAAAAGGGGGCAAGAAAAATAAAGGGAAAAAAAAGAATGCTTCAATCTGCACCCAGAGTTCATTAGTTCTCTCTTGGAAAGTGGATAGCACTTTTCATCATGAGCCCTTTGGAATTATCTTGAATCATTGTCTTATCAGAGTTGCTAAGTCTTTCACAGCTGATCATCACACAATACTGCTGTTACTGTGTACAAATTCTCCTGGTTCTGCTCACTTCACTTTGCATCAGTTCATCTAAGTCTTGCTGGGTTTTTTTTTTCTGAAACCACCCTGTTTGTCATTTCTGATAGCACAAGAGTATTCCATCACAATCATATAACACAATGTGGTCAGCCATTCCCCAACTGATGGGTATCCCCTAAATTTCCAATTCTTTGACACCACAAAAGAGCTGCCATAAATATTTTTGTACATTTCCCTTTTCTTGGATCTCTTTGGGATACAGATCTAGTAAGGTATTGCTGGGTCAAAGGGTATGCAGTTTTATAGCCCTTTGGGTATAGTTCCAAATTGTTCTCCAGAATGGTTGGACCAGTTCACAACTCCACCAACAATTCCTATTCTTCCACATTTCTTCCAGCACTTGTCACTTTTTTTGTGTCATATCAGCCAATCTGATATGTGAGGTGGTACCTCAGAATTGTTTTAATTTGCATTTCTTTCATCAGTAGTGATTTAGAGCATTTTTCACGTGACTACTGATAACTTTGATTTCTTCTAAAAACTGCCTGTTCATATCCTTTGACCATTTATCAACTGAAGAATGGTTCTTATTTTTATAAATTGGCTCAGTTCCCTATATATTTGAGAAATGAGGCCATTATCAGAGAAATTTGCTGTAAATCCCCCCCCCCAATTTCCTCCTTTCATTTTAATTTTGGCTACATTCATTTTGTTTGTGTCAACACTTTTTAATTTCACATAATCAAAATTAGCCATTTTAT